AGCTGCCCACGCGGGGCGGGAGGGCAGGTGTGCCGGCTCAGGTGAGCCCCGCGGCCCTCGGGCGCTGTGGAGAGCGCACAGCAGAGACAGCAACCTGTTACTACTCACCTGGATGCAATAGGAGTCTGTTCTTCCTCGCAGCCTCACTGAAGATTGTACCCTGACTTAGTCAGACTCATTGCTGTCTTTCCATGCCTTTTTTCCCTCTTCTCTCTTTCTTTCCTCTCCCTGGAGGGATACCTGTGTTGCAGTCACACAGGTACACGAAGTGTTTTAACTACACATTTAAATGAGCTGGTACAATCGCCTCGTTTGCACCGTCTCTTTTTAAGTGTACAGACTGCAAGTGCAACTAGAAGGTCCCGAGCAAGAATCTGAAGAGTGTTGAAAATGCAATTAATTAACCAAAGGCAGTCTAAAGACAGCCTGAATGAGTGTAGCACTGTAGACACCTTCCAAGGAGTGCGAAAGGGTAAACTTGTAGATGAACTAGACTAACAGCTTGGGATAACTCAGATACACCATTACTGTTGTCTCGTTACATGCAAAGAGTCATTAAGCTCAAATTAGTATTAATCAAATGTATATAGTAGATGTCTAAGATCATGAGAACTTTGGTGCCAGTACTTCATTGTCACTGTGCTTTATAATAATCTTAAGACTAGTGGGTACTACCTGAATTCCAGATCTAAAAATAAATATGAAGATTTCAACAGTTAAATTGCAATTACTTATTTTACTAATTTGCCTTCTAAAAAAAGAAAAAAGTTGAGTTTCATTGAAAATGTCAGTAAAAATCTTGGTTAAAACACTTTCCCTCTTCAAATTCATATTCAAGTGCTCTTCAGTATTTCTCTAAAGTAATTGCCAACGTGACACATTTTCCCCACCCTTGATGTTAAATTCCAGCTCATTTTCTTACTCACAAAGGTGCTCAAACTCAGGAGAAAATCACCAACTGCATGTCCATGGCAGATGAACAGAGTGAACAAAAACCAGGCGTTGATCACAAGTCTCCAACCAGCTCATCCAGGCAAAGGATGGGAGAAGAGAGAGGCTGTGTGAGGTAACACATGGGCTGGGGATGTGTTTCATATCAATCTTGGCATCATCAAAGCCAATGGGAGTTTTGCTTTTCTATGTGTTGATCTTAATTCTGGAGAATAATGTTGGAGATGAACTCGAGAATATAAAATCCGGAATTGGTGGTATTTCCAGCATCTGCACAGGTTTTTTATGGCCACAGTAGAAAACTACATTCTAACCACATGATGTATATTTAATGGATCTGGAGAAAGTTGTGCAAACTCTTGTGTGACTCATTTGTCAGTAGATTTGACCATTTCTCAACATCAGACAAAGAGCTGTGGTAATAATTCCCAGTGACACAGCTCTGTATTAAAACTTTCTCGAGTGCTGTTTCAGAGTCAGCATTTCATTACCATGTTGGGTTGATAACTACTGATTTTTCTAGTCTGAGTATTGCTATGCCACCAAAGGTCCTGTACCAAAGCAGCAAGAAATGGATGAAAGAATTGGGGGGAAAGGAATCTAACATAGAATCATGCTGCCCTTTTCCAAGAAGATGGACCCTCTAATTCCCTACCCACTTTCCTATGTACTCTGTATGTTTTAGCAGAAGAGCCTGGTAACTCACTCCAAACAGGTAGAAATGAAAAGCCACTCTATTAAAAAAAAAAAAAAACCTGCTGCTTTTTTTTAATTATGTGAAATATAGCCTTGAAAGCTGTAGCTATTTCTCTTGCATGAAAGAACTATTAATTGTGTTGCATTGGAATCTGTAAAGACACCCAAGATTTCAGAATGTGCACTGAAATATATTTTCTGTTTTGCTTCTGCTTCCCCTTAGAATGACAAAAAAAACTCTGCTAGACATCTGTAAACAGCAGGATTTATACTGGACCCCATACTTGAATGATACACTTTACTTGCATTATAAAGGTAAGATGTGGATGTGACTGTTTAGATTTATCACTACAAGTAGCATTTTAGCAGAGAGTCTACTTCATGGCTCACTGAAGTAAGGTATCTAGTCACTCTTTTAAATTAGAAATATAAGTTAATTTTATATAGTACTGGAACAGAGAAGCAAAACAAGTCAATATGAAGGTAGAAAAGTGAACTGATTATGCATCTAATTCACTTTGTGGAGTCATTCAAAGGATCAGTAGGAATCAAGGGACATATTTTTTCCTAAAGAGTAGGGTGGGTGTTTTCCTAAAACAGTAGCCTCTGAGAAATGTCTTAAAATACTGTTCTGGTTTGCGTTCAGAGGACAATATATATATTTTTCCTTAAATGTGTTTGTACAAAGAGCTTTTCCCAGTTTTTTGAATGTTTTTACTGCCAAATAAAAATGATCAGGAAGAAAATGAACAGTAAAGACTTGCTGCATGTCCTCCAACACTACAAGAAAAGTTGTTAGCATCAAAATGGATTATCTTCTTGTCATCTTTGAGCAGGTTTTAGCATGATGCAGTTAGCTGGTTCAGGTTGGCCTAAGGATTGTTTCAAATCAGTAGGACATGCTACTGCTACATTTGGCCTTGGTTTTACTCTTTCCTCAGTATGTTATTTAGCATGAGATATAGACCAGAATAGGTACTGACTTGTTTTTGCCTTTTATGGCCCAGGGATGGTACCATTAACTCAGTGGAAGGAACTTCAGGACAGGAGCTCTCACAGGCTGTTTCAGCAGCACTGGTTCCATGAAATCTACTCTTCCCAAGACCTGTTTTCAGCCAATGCCATTTCATTTTAAAGCATCTTTTTTTTTTTTGCAGGATTTGACCGCCTGGAGAACCTGGAGGAGTATACTGGACTGAAGTGCTTGTGGCTGCAATGCAATTGCTTCACAAAAATTGAGAATCTGGAGGCTCAGACAGAGTTGCGCTGCCTCTACTTGCAGCTCAATTTGATCACCAAGATTGAAAACCTTGAACCCTTACAAAAACTGGGATCCCTCAATATCAGTAACAACTGCATTAAGACCATTGAGAATCTCTGTAAGAACTGTTGGTGCAACATGTTTTATCCTAGGGCAGGCCCATTTTCCTAAGCTCTGACTAAGCTGTTGTAATGGCATTAGCTTCAAGGGGGTTTTAATTCACGTTAGAATTTTGCACAATAACCCATACCAAAGTCCACAAGGCTTCTGTTGAAGAGTCAAACCTATGCATTTTGCAAATTAAATAGATCAGAAAAGAGAAAATACATAGGAGCTACTTTCACATGGATACCTAGGATAATTCAGTAGTTTTTCCTCACTTAATAACACCTCAGTACTTATCTGTGCTGCAGACAGGCTGACAATCCAGTTTTCACCATGTACATTGCAGTTAGGACATGCTTTGGCAGTTGCAGGCACAATTACCATATCTTTTATGCCTTCTAAAAGATTTATTCTGTCTTCAGCAGAAAATTAAAAAGAATTCCTCTACATAATCACTTGTGTACATTGGAGTAACTTGAAACCCAAGCTCTTGTTTGGTGTAACTATTTTGAAACATGAATAAAAACCAATCACCATCCTAAAACCTAACAGCTATTTTTCCCAGGGGAAAGAAAGCAGCTGTGGAGACCTAGCCAAAAAGTGAATATAGCAGAATAACGAATTTAGGAAAGAGCTCCACATTCAATATAAACAATCAGTTTGGCAATGCAGTTTTTTGCTTGCTCCAGATTATCCTCCGTGAAACAACAACTCTTACCTTTCCTTTCCTTGTACTGTTCTTGTCTGACAGCTTGTTTGAAAGTCCTGCAGACTCTGCAGATTGCTCACAATAAGTTACAAACAGTAGAAGATATCCAGCACTTGCAAGAATGCCCAAGTATTTCTGTTCTTGATCTTTCCCACAACAATCTACGTGATCCAAATATCATAACTGTTCTGGAGGCCATGCCTAATCTGGTAAGCCAAATATAGCTGAGGGTTCGTGTCATGTGTATGGGTGGACCCCATTTAGTGGCTTTGAGGGGTTCTCCAGTGCACAATGGGTATCAGTCTAAAATAAATGTTATTCAACACTATTTTGTTTTTTGTAGATTACCTGTAGCACCCAGGATGTTTTATTCACCTCTTGTTTTTGAAACAACTGGGAAAGTGCATATCCAGATTGGGGTGTTTTGCTACTCAACTTTTAAAATTGTTTCCCTTGTTTCTCTAGCATGTGCTGAATTTGATGGGAAATGAGGTGATAAAGAAAATTGCAAATTATAGAAAAACACTTATCGTTCGACTAAAAAAACTAACATATCTGGATGACAGACCAGTATTCCCAAAGGATAGGTAAGAAACACAGTAATGTTCTTTACCCAGTAGTAAAGCTCAAATGCTAATTATCCCTCATCCATTTTTTTGTCAATACTGTCATGGAAGTAAAGGAAGACTGACAGTATAATTTATTGAGGGTGGGTGACTTCGAGGACAAGAGTATTATAGTACAAAGCTCCACATCTAACATACCTATTTTTTCACAAGATAATTCTTGAACAGAATTGTCTTACACCAAGTCTGTAGAGCAGAGACAAATCCTGATTTCAACAGAAGCCAAAGAGATGTCTGGAAAGCCAAGCCAAGATCAGACCAATGTCTGGTGGTGTAATCCCCAGCATTTCGAAAACTTTGATTCTTTCGTTGCAGTTCCATGTACAAGATGAGATTGTACATGGAGCAGATGTGCAATCCCTGTTGCATAAGGGATTGCCACTGCTACATGCTCTTTTTCTCTTGCAGCTACTTTATGCTGTTGCAAGCTATTTTAAATTTCTCTCTTATTACAAAGATGGGCTTTTATAGCTGTGTTACAGTGAGCTTTTTTGTTTTCATCAGAGCCTGTGCAGAGGCCTGGGCTGTTGGAGGCCTTGAAGCTGAGAAAGCAGAAAGGGAAAAATGGGAAACCAGAGAGAGAAAAAAAATCCAAGATAGCTTTGATGCATTAGCAGCAATCAGGCAAAAAGCAGAGGAAAAGAAAAGACAAAACTGCATGGAAGAAAGAGATACAAGTGCAAAATGTGGAAATGGAGATGCAGCAGATATGCTGGAAGGTTTGTGCTTAATATTTTGGAAGATGTCTGTGTCCACTGTAAAACATATTAATAGTTCCTAAATGTTCAGACATAGGCTGATGCAATTTGTGGAATATAGTTATGAATCTTATTTTCCCATAGTAATTAATCTTGGTGCATCTTAGATTAATCACAATGATTTTAAGTAATCATCACTTCGTCACTACTGATGAAACAAAAAAAACAACCAACACAACAAAGCACTTTCTGTTGCAGCATTTCAAGGTCTCGTGCTCTTCCCCAGAGCAACCAGATGTTAGTTAGGGCAGTAGTGGTTCCAGCAATCATTGATGGGTGCAGGCAGGAGGTTACACCCCAAGAGCAATAGTTTTCCAGAAGCAGAACACAGGCAGTGAGAGGAAGGTCTTCAGTCATTTGCTTCCTTTACTGCCCTTCTTTATGCCACAAATTGTCCTGTCACATTATTCAAGGAGACATAAGCTTACAAGTATGTCTTACAAGTATTACTAGTAATAGTTCCAACCTAGCCTTTCTAGAGAAGGATACACATTTTGGGATTCACAGGAGTTAAGCCAAATAAGAAGGCAGTACTGCAGTGCAGAGGAGTCTTTATCTGATACAGCTTTGGGGTGACTAACAAGTAAAACTTTCTGCAAGCAGGTGGATTGCACAAAGGAGAGTTATCACTGGTCCATCAAAATCCTTAAGCATATATTTAAATATGTAGTCATCTGTGAGTCTTTCAAAGTTAACTGTAGCTACCAGACAATTATTTAGCACAGTGTTTTCTCTAGATGAGTGTTTTTACTGGAAAACTTTATTTGCTGGGGAGTTGAGATGGGAAAATCCACAACACTGCTGAAATCTTGGGAGGCTCCTCATCCACAAATAGCTGCTCAAACAAAGCAGCAGCTTTTGATGCTTGTTTTAGGCCAATGTAGTAACATTTGGATATTTTTAATAAGCAATGGTGGATTAAATCAGCAATTTTAATGAACTTCTATAGGAGCACCTGCAAATTCAAAGGACAGTCATGGAAATTCTAATACATCAGAGACTTCCAATGTATCAGAGGAGGAAGAAACTAAAGAGAAGACTGAGAAATTTAAAAATGAAGGTTTTGGTGTTTGTGATGAAGTGATAACTCTTCTACCAAATAGGGGAGGTAACGGAGATTTCACATCTGGAAATA